TCTCGGCCATGATCCTCAAAATTCTCCTTGCATCTGCCCATTCCCTGGTCCCAAAGCCACGTTCACATTTTTAGGCATTTTCTCCAGTGGCACTGCATGTTAGGGCACCAAAATCTGTTTCAGGAGTCATTGCATAACAATGTTACCACTGACTTGGGGCCTGAAACATTTCGTGTGTATTGGCTCAAAGTTTCTGTGGGTTTGTAGCCTGGACACAGTAGACCTGGGTCCTTTGCTTCAAGATCTCACGAGGCTGCGGCATGCCGTAGACCATGGCTGTGGTCTCATCTGAGGCCTGACTGCAGAAGGTGTGCTTCCCAAATCCCGTGGTTGTCGGCAGCGTTCAGTTCCTCAGATGCTGTCAGACTGAGCTCCCTCAGCCCCTCGCCACCTGGGCCATTCATTCCTCAAAGCCATGGCGCGGGGGTTGGGGGAGAGTTTTCTTGAAAAAAAAAAGGGTATTGCAGTCTTATGTAGGTTTAATCATGGAAGTGATATCCTGTCATTTTTGTCATATTCTGTTGGTTAGGAGCAAGTCACATGTCCTCCCACCCCCCACCCCCCCCACCACACACACTGAGTGGGAGGGGATCACGCAAGGTGTGATGACTTCCAGGAGGTAGGAATATGGGGACCACATTAGAGTCTGCCCCCACTCCATTATCAAAGTTAAGAGTCCCAGGAACCAATGGGGGCTTATTATAAGTTTTTTATTATTTGATTATTTTTTTATCATATGATTTTTCATTATATTTTTCTCTGTCTCCCTGGGGTGTGTTTGCTTAGCAAGCCAAAGTGCTTCTCCTTTACAAGTCATTCCTCTCCCGTCATGGGTTCTCTTAGCTCTCTCCTGGGGTAAAAGTTAATAGTAGGAGGAACTCAGTGTATGTATAGTTTCTCCGGTACCACAGAGATTTGATTACTCCAGTATGGACCAGGAAAGGGACAGTCATTTGAGCCAAGCCAGGAGAAAATGGCTCTGACAGGGTCCTGGCTGGTTCAGGTGGGCAGGGGCTGCAGTGAGAAACTAGCAGGGACCAAACCAGAGCAGAACGCAGCTCATAGCATGAAGAGATATGACCAGAAGTGATACAGTGTCGAGAATCTAGTCCACATGGGGTTATGAAAGGTAGTTCTTTTCACAGAGACGAGGTTTGTGGAAAAATTGATAATTTATGGAGAAATATTGCTGGTTTATTAATTTACTTTTAAATGCAAAATGAGAATGAGCCGTCATGGGCAAAATTAAAATCTTAATTTTTAATGCATCACGAAATACATCTGTGACTTTCAGTGCTTTAAGATCCTAGAGATCCAGGAGAGCCACTAAACCATCAGCAATGTTCAGCTGTTATGTGGCAAAAGCTAGCTGTGTGTAGAGGACTAGAGAAATGAAGAACCACTGGCTGGCCCATTGTGTAGTTATTTTATTCATAAATTAATAAAAATCCTTGAACAAGCAGAGTTGCCAAGGTAACTAACTGCTGATTCCCATTGTTGTCTGTGACGGGGAAAGATGCTGGAGACTCGGTTGGGTAGTTTAACAAGAGGCACATCTGTCAGGAGCACCTGTTGGTTGGGGTGGTGGCACAAGGGGGTCGGAGGGACACTGCTTCCGTGAAACTGGGGAATTCAGGGTTCGAGGCTTGTAAGGGCTTTGCCTCTGACCAGACTCTCCTGGGTGGATTTGTGAGTGAGAACCCAGACATGAAGGGGCAGAGCTAGCTAGCCTAGCAATTTCTACTTCCCTCCTGACCTGCCTCGCAGAGGGTGACATAGTCACATATCTTGGCGTAGCTGTTTTTCCAGGACTGCTTTAACAAGAGAAAGAGAAAAATGGAAGGCAAGTGGTGGACAACTTTAAAATGCAGCCAAATATATCATTTATTGACACTGATCGCAAGTGCTATGCTCCACGCAGTTTTCAGGCTCTCCTGCAGTAGATTCAGCTATACTAACATTCTGAGTGTCTTCAGAGGTGGCCTGCCATGGGCAAATAGGAGGAAGTATTTGTGCGCTGTGATGTGTTTTGCTATGGGAAAATGGTAACTCCCTTGCTGTGCTTTTTATTAAAAGCCAAGTGTTTTTCTTTTAATTTATTTATCTGAGAGAGAGAGAGAGAGAGAGAGAGAAACAGCATGAGAGGGGAGAGGGTCAGAGGGAGAAGCAGGCTCCCCGCTGAGCCGGGAGCCCGACGCGGGACTCGATCCCAGGACCCCGGGATCATGACCTGAGCCGAAGGCAGTCGCCTAACCAACTGAGCCACCCAGGCGCCCTAAAAGCCAAGTGTTTTATAAGCATATTTAGCAAGATTTTCCTTTGCCCTCTCTATTCTTTTATTGCTTGCTTTTGTTTCTGAAAGCTAAAATGAGGGTAAGGAGTCCTGGTAGTTTATACCTTTTAAATGTCGGTGCATCGGCCTGGAAACGGGAGGTGGCCTTCTACTTCTCAATTTATCCACAGTGAGAGAAGGTACCTGTGGATATTTTGAATCAAATGCTGCCAGATCTGATGTTCTGAGTTTTCTTTTCTCCCAAATGTGTTGTTGAATGGCACCTTCCTCTTGGGACACTCTGTGCACCGACACATATGTTAATAATCCTGGGTAGTCAAGGATGTTTTCCTTCTTGCAATTCTTCGTGTTTGCACATGCTTCCTGAGGCCAAATTCTTTTCATCTGTTGTCTCCTCAATTTTGTTTTGGCTCTCCTATGTAGAGATCCCACTCTCTTAATTAGAAAATTCCTTCCCTTTCTCCCCTCCACGTAAGCGTGTCCATGGCCCTGAACTCTGAGAGTCAAGAGCCCTGGGAGGCTGGGTATGACTCTGGAAGAAGGAAACCTAATGCTTCTCTTTCTTAAAAATTGAGAAGATGAAAGAGAGAGGATTTTTCGGTTCCATTGACTAGTCTTCTAGGTGACCCGTTTAGAGAAACTCAACCATGTGCCTTAGTGGTTCTTGCCTTTGGAGGCTTCTCTGCCATGACATATCAGCTCTCTCTACCCAGAAGGACGCGTGTCTCCCACGTTCCCACAAGTGGGAGGCTGACATGTGACTCTACTGTTCGTCTCTTTGTTTTTCTCTGCACTCACACAGTTGCCGCACCTTTGCCCCACTCTACCAAGTCCAAGTGCGTCCCTTTTCCTCTTTCCACCACCATCATGTTTGTCCAGCTTGGAACACCTCTCCCTTACATTGTTGCAATCCATTCTCTCCTGGTTGGCATTTGCCCCCTCTGCTCTTCCTGCTGGTGGGGTTTTTGGAGACTGGACCCCACACTTAACGCATGGAGAGCTCCTGAAATCCCAGGGAGCTCCAGGCCACCAGTGGGATGAGGCAGAAATCCCTGGAGACTGGTCTTCACTCTGGAACTCGGACGGTGCTATTTTGTCTCTCGAGCTCTGTGGGACTTTCTTGATTCCTTTTAAGTATGTTTCAAGTTCTTCCTCCTCATAAAAGTAGGTGATGCTACTTCCCGTCACCTTCTTCTGTTCTCTCCTCCCAGGTCACCTTTCTAACTTCACTCTTCCCATTTCTATATTCTGTTCTTTTCCACAATGGCGGCCATTGCTCGCTTTGCCTCATCCTGTGGACTCCCCTTGGCTTGGCCTGGCTCTGACCTTTTGTCTGTACCTGCCTCTGAGGTCTTCAGATTCTCCACAGAGTTTTCCTGGTTTGGTGGAAAAACACTTGAATCTTACCAGCATTTGCCGTCTGGAAACCGCACTCTCCAAATGACTTGTCCTGGTTTCTGGAAACCAGCTACCATTTGTCCTTACTTTCTACTCATTAAGATAGTATCTTCTGTTCTGGGCTTGTGCCCATTTCCCTGTATTCATCTTAGGTTGTAAACACCTGTTGTATGGAAACGCGCTTTGTAATGTCCTTTGTGTAATGCCCTGCAGGATTTAGCGTTTATTAATAACCATGACATTACAAGTGACTGACTTAACCTCGCAGATAAGAGTCTGCCTCGTGTCTGAATCCAGATGGGGTGGGTGGAGAGATGTCAGAAAAAGTCTTGCATGCTACTGTCCTCTAGCAGCTAAATTTCTGTTTAGAAGATGGAGAACTGAATTTAAATAGTCCTTTAAATGGCCAGATATGCCTCACTACGTTTGCTTATGGGTAGAGCAATCTCTTCCTCTTTAGAGGCTGTAACCTATAGAATGCCAGGCTGTTTCCTTCTTGTTTTTTGTTTGTTTGTTTGTTCATTTGTTTCTCTCATTTGGCTTCATTTCACTTGTAGTATTAAAGGCTGAGGAGAAATTTGACTCATTTAAGGCTAAAGAAAGCCTTGTAAAGCTGGCTAGTAATTGACAATGTGAATGTATATTTAGAAGTACAGAGTATATAAATAGGACCAGTGTTTGTAAATAGTTATTCAACTTTTCTGGAATAACTGGTGGTCTTTTAAATTAAGGTTCTTTGACATCATTTTGAGAGTCTACAAATAAATTTAAAAATACAATAACCTGAGGAGTGTATGGCATGAGTCCTCCTGCTAAAATCAGGCTTTAACTTTTCTTTAATTTATATTGATAGGATCATGGAGCCTTACTTGATTCAAGAATGAGAAATGAATTCCAAATACACTTTTGCTGACTTTGTGTCCACAACCTACTTTATCTTTCAGTGTTTGTGTTTAGAAGATAAATGCCCTACCTAGATATTCTCTATGTGTTCTCATTTTTGGGTGTCTATTTGAAGGGTTTTGTTTTGTTTGTTTCTCCTCTAATTGGCTGCACAGGAAGCTCCATCCTGCATTGTGAGTTTAGCATTTTCTTCATTGTGCCCCACGCATCCCATTGTCTGTGCCCTCACAGCATGGCCAGCACCACATCTGCCCCCTTTACCGTGCCACCGCTCTGCACTCACAGAGCCCCTCCACGTGGAGCATGCCCATGTGTTCAACATCGGTGCAGGGACGGACCGTGGAAAGGTCTGTGGCTTCATGTTGTCCTGAACAGTTTCCTTTTTCTCTTGGTTTCCCCATCACAGATACTGCAACGAGCATTTGCTGTGTCCCCCGCACATGTTCTGGACAGGCTGGGGTCCTTGGGAACGGTGCACGGCCCAGTGTGGGGGTGGTATTCAAGCTCGCCGCAGGACCTGCGAGAATGGACCTGACTGCGTGGGCTGTAATGTGGTGAGTATGAACTTCGGTGTTCCCAGCCCATGACCTAGAGCTGGGTGTCCCGAGCCAGCACACACTGGGTGTTCTGCACACACCTGACACACTGCAAGCATTAAGTGTTCTGCAAACACCACATGCTCTGTAAGTGTGACATGTCTAGAC